GCATATTTTTTTTCGTTTTTTTCAAATAGAATGATCGTATTTGTAGTTTTTATGTGCTAAATTAAATCACTAATCAAAATTCAAGCAGGAATCTGCCCTATTAAAGTGCATGCATATGGTTTCTTGGCTTTATTATTCTATCTACATCCATTTCAAGATGCAGCTACCTAGTATTAGATAATGAAATATTCTATATTAGATAGCTACTCCTTCTATTTCAGGTTATAAGATATTTTGAGTTTGATCAAAATCAAACTGGTTCAAGTTTATCAAATTTATAGAAAATAATAATAATATTGACCAAAGATAAATTTACTATAAAAATATATTTAACTATTAATTTAATAAAACTAATTTAGTATTATAAATATTATTATATTTGTTTATAGATTTAGTTAAATCAGTTTGACTTTAACCAAAGTTAAAACATCTCAGAACGGAGGAAGTACATTTTAGAACGAGAAAGTACGCTGTGCTTTAGAACCGATTGGAACGGAGAGAAGCACGCAATATGCTCGATCGATCGATCGGATCGATGCAGAAGTAGAACAGCTTCCAAGATCGGAAGCGACTGCCAGCCTGGCACATTCATGCATGTGTGCGCGAGGTGATTGGTATTCTAGCCGGATACTCCAGACTCCAGTTCTGCACTGGCACCTGAGGAGGAGAGGTGATCGAGGCGCCATCCATGAACCTGGCCGAGGTATGTAGTACTATATCCAAAAAAAAAAATTAATTTAGGTGAGAATATAACCCTTTCTAATACAACTCCTAAGGCCAGTCACAATGGGGGTTTCACTGGTGTGTCATGCACATTTAATAGGGGTAAGACTGAATAAAAAATGATTATTTGCATGAAATGGGGATGAGAGAGAAGGAAAGAGTTTCATCCTGGTGAAACTCGTCAGCGTCGTTTCCAAGTCCTCGGTAACAGAGTGAAACCCCCGTTGAGGCCGATTCGTTTCATTCACCGGATCTCTTGCGTCCGCCTCCGCCGTGCGACCTCCGCATTCTCCCGCGCCGCGCCGGATTTTGGGTACAAATGATCCCAGCAACTTGTATCAATTAAATGCTTTGCTTAGTCTTGGAAACGTCAAAGTGAAACCCCTCCACTGTGGGGATTGTTTCATAAAAGATTTCATTTGAGAGAAGATGGTATAATATTTTGGGTAGCCGTGCAATGACACTAGCCATTGTGACTGGCCTAATACAACGAATCTAGTTAGAAAATTATTCAGATTTGTTGTACTAAAAATGACCACATCCCATATAAGTTTAAGTTATTTTGGAAGGGTGGAAGCAGGTCCAGTCCGACGGTTTCCTTGCTAGCACAGCCTGGAAAGATTTACGGGCTCATTTGGTTTGTAGCTAATTTATTTATTAAAAAAAATTAATAGTGTCAAAACTATGATTAGTATTTTTACTATTAAATTCAGTGGTGCTAGTATTGAATCTAGCAAAATTCGGTACTAAACCATAAATATACGATATGATATTATTGAAGCTGTTTTTTTTTAAGTTGGCTTCAATCCGACCAAGACATATGAATATATGATTTTTTTTCTGTGCTGCGTTTCGGCTTCTAAAGCAGTGAGACGTGCTCTATCCACTTGAAAACGTAAAAGAGCCCAGTAAGCTTACCACATATATATGGCTAGAGTAGACCGGTCATTGTAGTCATGTAGGGAAAAATAACATATAAAGGGCAGATAGAAAAACACAACTACACAAGGTATTAGCTGTAAGATCTTTCCCGGACTTGTGTGCATGCATATACATGTGTAAAGTGTGTTTTCAATATTGAGGATCAGTACATATATCGAATTGAATATACTCATACATTGTCAGAGTACTGCAAACCAATATACCCAATGAAATCCTACTCGATCAAATGTAAACTTCACTTCTCTGGCTTTCTCCTATTAATTAAACAAAGACGTGCCTGTAGTGTCTTTATCTAAAAGAATCCTATATCAGAAGAAGGAATCTGGAAAAAATCCTGGATGAAACAAACCTACAAGTTCGAATCACGAATGACTATACAGTTTTTTTTATTATTTTTACATTATGCAAGATTCAGTGGTTGATGGATGACGATGGAGTTAATTTGGCAAGATTCAGAAACTTTAGCAGTCCAGCAGCTGCACCAGATACATCGAATCGGCCACGTCATGCCCGCCAGTCGTCCACTGATCGCCCCGCCGTTGTTTCCTCTTCTGGTACTGCTCACACGGCAGGCAGTACGGCCTTTCCGGCAATCCACTTTTAAAAAAAGTACTAGTAGGTCAGTTTCTCTCGGCTCTAAGAGCTGGTTTGGTTTAAGGTCTAAATTGGCTTTATCAATATTTGTCAATTTCAATAGTATTTATTGTCTATTTGGTTTGGAGCCAAATTTTAGCATGCCTAAGAAAATAGGCCATTCAAACAGTTAATTTAGGCTATTTTGGCTTCAATCCAAACACAATTTTACCTTTACCAAAATTAGCCATGCCAAAAATTGCCAAAATTTGACATTGACAAAAATTGGTAAGGCCAATTTAGGCCACAAACCAAACCAGCCCTAACTCTTGATTTGGTTAGCAATTGATTATCATCCCTCCGTACTATATAACTGAACCAAATATCTTACGTCGAATCACGAAATAGGTTGCAAAAGAAAACACTTCATCCATCCCAAATTATAAGAGTCTAAAATTGGATGATACATTTCCTAGTAGTGCTAAGAAATGTCTTAGAGAAAATCTATTCTATACCACTAAGTTTGTTCGAGTTCAACAAATTACCAATGATATTATCGCTTTCTATAATATACCGACGATTTTAATTATTAATTATTCTACAATACGTCATTGAGTTGAGCCCTTTTTTTTTTTTCAAAAATACCCTTATGGACATATAAGGTTAACAATTGATTTATCTCATTAGAAGTTTCAAAAAAAAAATATGGCCTCTTTACGCAGCATGGAAATTGGTATAGAAGTTTACATTACTATTTTTCATTAAAAAATAACTTATCCGTTATATGCTATATAAAATACTTGTTTATTATTGTTTTTAATATAAATCATGTTTCATATACTACATAAGATATTTTTGTGATATTATCTCTTGTATTAGCAAATTCTCTCTCATATACCACATAAAAATATTTTTCAAGAAACTAAATATACCAGGAAAAACTTAAAACTTATAGACAAACTTCCATGTTGTGTAAGCCACATAAATTTTTTTCATATTTTTTAAAATCTTCTGATGAGATAAATCAATTGTTAATCTTTTATGTCTCTAAGGATATTTTGGGTATTTTTGAAAAGAAGGTCCAATCCGATGGTGTATCGTAAAACAATTGATAAAGTCACCGGTATATTATAGAAATAGACAATGTCAATGGTAAATTGTTGAACTCGAACAAACTCAGTGGTATAGAATAGATTCTCTCAATGTCTTATCCGATACCAAGGTCTTGTATTTTGGGACAGAGAAAGTATGAAATAGGTAAATTTTCAGATATGAAATTTTATATTGTTTCAAATCCATATAAATGGCAGGCCATATATTATGGATTGATTGACAAGAAATGTTGGACCTTATAATAGAGTCGTGGACCAGAGAAAAGTAAATTTTAGTATATCATAGATTCGACTATCTACATGGGATTAAAACAAATATAAGAATACCTTTTGTGAGGGCAGTTTGTAACACGTTTAGATGGTCTTTATCGATCAAGTTATAACCAAGAGATACATAAGTGAAAATTCAGCTGCCCCTGAAAACGAATTTTTAGTTTTTTCTAAAAAAAACCTTGTATTTTAATAGGTATCTATACACGGTCGCTCAATTATATGTAAAAGCATTCAACTAAACTTATCTTGCTGAGAACTACAAATTTAATATAGGATATGTCTTCATTCAATATCATTTGGAAAACTAAAGAAACAATTTAAGAAATAGATCTCATAATAAAAAAAAAATTTAAACCCTTAAAATATCTATTTGAAAGAAAAGTTCCAACTAAAAAGATGTAAACCTCATCGAGAGCTATAATTTACATATAAATTTTGATCTGACTTTATTTCGATTTTTTTTTTCATATTTTAGTGGTGCTCTTATTTTTAAGTGTGGTTTTCTTACATAGAGGATAGAACCGGCTACGAAAATAAAAAATAGGAACCTGTAAATAATCTTAAATGAAAAAACTTTCAACAATATTTATATATATCATCGAAAGATATAATTTTTTCTATAAAGTTTCTAATATCTGACTTTATACGAAAGAGTTATGATTTTTCTATATTTTAAGGGTGAAAACTGATTTTTTTTAACATGTGTTTTTTTACCAAATCTATGACCTGAGATGGACTCAACCATTTTCACAAATGCGAATTTTCTTGCGTCTGAAAAAATATTTTCAACCATTAGATTGAAGAAATAATGGTTGAAAATATTTTTGACCGGAAATAAAAATTGATTTATAAGAGTGGTTCTGGAAAAATGTTTTTTTTCCTAGTGAACAATTGGGTCATATAGAGACGACGATCAAATTTACCTTATTTTAAAAATTGAAGAAAATATATTTTACCACTCAATCTAAATATCGATGGAGAAAAAAAACCTAAGCCAGGTACTCCCTCCGTCCCAAACTGTAGGGCACATTTTTTTTAAAAAGGAAAATCAAACTCGGTAATATTTGGGACGGAGTCACGGAGGGAGTTGTAAATAATTGTGGAACGAAAAAATATCTTAAATAAAACCCCGCGCGAGAACGATTGAGATCTCTAACTAAAGTCTGGTGACTAGAATCAAAGCAAAGATAAGCTATGTGTCGCTCAAATTCAGAGAATCCCCCCAACCCACCTGCGCGCGCCGAAGCTTTTTCCATTCCAGGTTCGGCATCCACAGTCACGTGCCCGAAAAACCGCGGGCTCTCGCCCACCCCCCCCCCCCCCCCCCCCCCGGGGCGCCTCGACCAACCAACCTGTCTATCTGCTTCCTCGACCAGACGCCACGCCGCCACTTGACTCTACTGCAGGAGTACTGCTCCTGCTGCATGCTACTCGCTCTCGCGCCAACCAAACCACCATTAGAATTTAGAGCACCATGTCAATGTCACGAATATATGGTCCATGTCGCCGTACGTGACACCGGCCGCGAGCCTAGCTAGCGACTAGAGCTTCTGCTCTCTATATCACCTGGGCTAGTTGATCTGCCGCGAGATGCAAGAAGAAGCGGCGTCGTCGTCGTCGTCGTCGGCGTCGCCGGTGATGGACGGGGGCAAGGCGATGGCGGTGCTGCTGGCGGTGGCGGCCGCGGTGCTGCTGCTGCTCCCGCTCGTGCTGCCGTCGCTGCTGCTGCTCCTCCCCGTGGTGCTGCTCCTGCTGGTGGTTTCCCTCGCCTTCTTCCCCGCGGCCGGCAGCGACGGCGTCGTCGCCGCCGCCGCGGTCGCCGGCACCTACCAGCCGCCGCCGCCTCCGCCTGCTCGGTCGTCACCGCCGCCGTCGTCGTCGTCGTCATCGTCGTCGCGGCAGCTGTGAAATCTTGATCGACTGTTCGATCGAGTGCCCGGCCGCCGGAACGTCGATTTGCGAGAGGCGAATCGCGGCGAGACGACGATGCCTGAGGCCGTCAGATCGAGATGGAAATTTAGCCTCTGTTAATTGTCTCGCGCATCGACCTGGCAGGAAGGCAGGTCAAGAACATGTACAGAAATTAGGTAGCTCTGATCAACGAGATCATTCCATTTTGGAGTAATTTATCCATGGTCCCGTTCTTAATTCCGTGCTCTGCACTTGTTGCTGTATTTCGATTTACGCATGAAAAACTTTGGGTAGAAATAGAATGTTACCGACCCCTGACGATGAGAGAGTTTTCACCGACTAACTTTTGCTCGAATTTGCTGTTTTAAGTTTGAATTTCTCGAAAATTGTTTGAAAACAGAAACTTTAATTTCTCGAAAATGATTTGAAAATTACCTCGAAATCTGCTTTCAACGTTCGCGGTTTTTGACCGAATTTTGACGGAAACGTGAACACTACTATCGAGCTATGGCCCCACCAGCACCAGGTGTCGCGTTGCATGGAGCCGTAAGCCCAGGAGACCTCGTAAAGACCACACCTCCACCTGGCCTAGATAAGAGGCCCAAGAAACAATATCATATCTTCCTAGGTGGAATAAGTCCACATGATGTCTCTCATCTTACTGTTGAGTTTAATAAATCGTATTTCTAAACCACAATACCAAAAATCTTGACCTAAAATCTTGACCTCTCAACTTGTAAAACCAGATTAAATTAGATCTTATGACAGTATGGATGATTGGTTTCACTAACACGAGTGATATGGCATCCTATTTTCTTTTCGCTGAATAGGAGAGGGGAAGTAGAGGAAAAAAGCGAGGTGGCCACTTACACGTAGGTCTCATAAGTTTTTTTTGGTTCTTGCTAACTAGGATGCGACGTCAGTGAAACCAACCACCATACTACTGAGACCTAATTTAATCCAGATATGCAAGTTGAGGAGGGGGGGTCAATTTTTTCGATATGATGGTTTAGGGACAAAATTTAAACTCAAAAGATGAGGGTCAACAAGTGGACTTATTCCTATATACGTTCTCGGTCGGTCATGAATTCTCTATATTTATCAATTCAACAATTTAGGGACGACATCTGCGACGTTCATTGAAATTTGAAAAAATCAAATTATCGTTAGAATCGAAAACAGTACCACCTTTACGGAAGTACCACATTTACAGTATCCAATCAGATGTGAATTTCTACCACCGCTTTATTCCTATGGTAGAACTGTCAGTTGGAAAATGTTTTCGCGATATTACTATTTTATAAGTTCAATTAACAATAAAAGAAATTAGTGGTATGTATGGTATTATTACACCATCTTCAGTTCGGAAACACTCAAAAAAAAAAAAAGGCTCAAATACCCCCCTGCATCCTGGATACCCATTTGCTGATCAAGAGCTGGATAAAAGTTTACAACAGAAATACAGAAGGAATCCCCTTCGATCAGATTGCAGCATCTATTCGTGAGGAAGAACAAAAAAGAAATCTAACACCGTAACCACACCCACTACAACGTGCATTATACTAAACGCACATAATTATTGCATTACTACACACCAAATTTATAATGTCAATGTCACGGTTGACATTATACCCCGCCATGGCAAAACCAGCCTCCTCTTAGACGGACACCGTCTTCGGCTTCGCCCCCATCTTCTTCCACGACACGCTGGGCATGATCTGCGCCGTGTCGACCCTGTCCTTGTACTGGACGGCGAAGTTGAGCAGCGAGTCGAGGAGCGAGTCCGACAGCAGGTGGGGCTCCAGGCCGAGCTCCATGAGCTTGGTGTGCTTGGCGTTGTAGTAGTGTTCCTCCGCTTCCACCCGCGGGTTGGGCACCGACTTGGTCTGCACCTCCAGCCCAAGCTTTGCACCGGCGGCCGTAACCAGCTTTGCCAGCTCGTTGACCGAGAACTGCTCGGTGAACTGGTTGAAGACCCTGAACTCACCTGGTTTGGCTGGGTTGGCGATTGCGAGCTCTACGCATTGCACTGTATCCCTGATGTCCAGATATCCACGGGTCTGCGGAGCAGGGAGGAAGAATCTTGGTCAGTACATATATGCTACTGAACTGAAAATTTATCTGATGTGGTAATTATCAAGATAGAAATTCCAAAACGTCATAGACCAGTGTTCAGCAGTTCATAAGATTGTTTCATTTCTATGTCCTAGACAACCGTTTGTTTTGTGATGAACTGAGTAGCACTTTGCAATGGTCTGAAGAAAAATGGAAAGATTTTAGGGACTCATAAAATATCTAAACTATCGGCAAAGGAACAATTGACATAAGAACGAAATTTACTTTCTGTAGTATGTTAAATTTCAGTACTTGCTGCCATAAGCTACAGCCTGCATTGTTCACAACCATGTTTTGTGTCAGACAAATTTATGAAATAGTGACAATAACGTCTCACATCCTGAGGTTCCATGGTAACAGAAGTTAACTGGTATGTTAACGTACAAGATTATATGATGCATACTGACAATTTTAACCATTTATTTTTTGGGGGGAATACAACAATGACAGCAACTGGAAGTATATCATGAACCACAGTTAGTAATGCTGCAAACCTGCCTTATGATAGAAAAAAGAGCATAGAGGGAAGAAAAAAACAAATGACAGTTTAGATGGCACTATGAGCCAGAGAATAAAGACATACCTGACCACCTTTTCCATAAACTGTAAGTGGATGACCTACAGCAGCCTGAACACAGAACCTATTCAGTGCTGTCCCAAAGACGCCATCATAATCAAACCTGTTGGATAGTTCTTCATGCATTGCAGTTTCATCTGTTCTCACTCCATATACAACACCTTGGTTAAGATCCGTGGCCCTTATACCCCAAGCCTTGCATGTAAATGCTATATTGTGCGAGTCATGCACTTTGCTTAGATGGTAGAAGGAGCTCGCTTGCTTTGGGTAAGGCAAGGTATCAGTTCTTCCATTGTGGGTAATAGTGATGAACCCTTCTTCAATGTCAATATTTGGAGTTCCATACTCACCCATGGTTCCTAGTTTGACCAGATGGCATTCTTCACTGAACTCCTTAATGGCAAATAATACATTAAGAGTTCCGATAACATTGTTATGCTGAGTGAATACCGCACGGGAACGATCAATCATAGAATATGGCGCTGATCTCTGCTCACCAAAGTGGACAGCAGAATCCGGCTCGAAAGACTTGAAGGCTTCTGAAAGGAAATCAAAGTCACATATATCACCAACATAGAGCTGAATCGTCTTTCCGGTTAGAGCCTTCCACCGACGGATGCGATTCTGGATGGAGGCTATGGGTGTGAGGGAATCCAGGCCAAGTTGGTGATCAAAAAGGCGCCGCACAAGATTGTCAACAATGGCAACCTCGTATCCTTTATTGGAGAGATGAAGTGCGGTTGCCCAGCCGCAGTAGCCATCTCCGCCGATAACCATGACCTTTTTGGGTTTAGAGGATGAGTGCCCAGATGCTTGCTGACTTCCAGTAAGGGGTGTTTGTGTCTGTCCTTGTACAGCAGCGCTAGCACGAGCGACAAATGGCCTGTTCGGTCTTGTCGCAGTACATGATTTGAGCACTAGATTGGAACATTTTGAGCTCTGGAATTGGGTCACATTGCAGCAATAACCAGGAGATTTCGAGTACGTCTTAACTGCAGGCGAAGGGCTGAAACTACAGTTAGTTACCATATGTGCCATTTTCATGTCCTTTATCTTCCACTACGGTTAGCTATATCGATGGCCTGCAGAGATAACCCATACAAATTCAAGTTCAGTGAAAAAAGGCCAGCATAATTATTTAGAGGTTACAGCACATAAATTTCATTACAAATTACAAGGTAAGCACAAAATGACAAATAAAGCAGGTGCAAGAACGGCGATAGCTAATCCAGATTGTTTCGCTTACAGTAAATCCGGGCGCATGGCTTTCGTCCAAACCAAAAAAACGAAAAACACGAATAGCTAATAAAGCAGGATTGAGCTGAAAATCCTCTTCTTCTTTTTCTCTGAGGGGAACGAACTACTACTGCTTACACAGTACTCCTCCGCCACGCAGTAAACAGAGAAGAAGGGAACGCTCGGAACGATCCAAGCAAGCGAAAACCAGCTATCCATTCTACTCTACGCCTGCTCACTGTTCACTAGCGCGTAGTAGGCCGGAGGAGGAGAGAAGAATACCTCGCAGGAGGAGGCCGGAGCGGAGCGGGCTCGGACGCCGGTGGGGTTGGGGGGTGGCGACCAGGTGGGTGAGGGGGAAGAGGAACGAACGAGCGGAAGCGAGGTGGAGAGGAGAGGATGGATAGCAGCAACAGCAGGCAGCAGGCAGCAGCGCGGCGGATATTCGGCGGAGCCGCGGAGGGATCCGGATCAACCTGCGATGGCCCCCGGTTGATTCCATCTTAACCGTTCATCCATCGATGAGCACTGCTCTATCCTCCCGGTTTCAGGGGCTCGCGGCTGTGCAAGACAGGAGCAGAGAGTAGAGGAAAGAATGGAGCAGCTAGCTTGGCTCCCTACCTAACGCTAGCTCGCGAGAGGATACGGAGTTGAAGCGGCGGCAGCGCGTGTCCTGCCTGCAAGAGAAAAACAAAGATGATTTTGGGATAAGGTTGGGAGTACTAAGGTTTTTCTTGGGCTTTTGGTGGGCTTGTTTTAGAATGGGCTATCAATGTATACTATGTGTTTGGAATAAGTTCGCTATGACCCCCTAAAAATGGACCGAATCTAATTCATGACCCTCAATCGCAATATCAGATATGTTGACCCCTTAACTCTTAAAACCGGTGCAACATGACTTCTAGGGCAGTATTGATAGTGGTATTTGCTGACATGGCATCCACGTGACATCCTAGTCATCAAAGAAAAATATAAATTAAAGTGGGACCCAACTATCATACTTCTTCCTCCTCTACCCCCACACGCTTTACCCCATGTTTCACGGCGGCAGAGGGGGTGCACGGCGCGGCGGGCAACAGGGGGCGCGCAACGGGCAACGGCGGACGGGACGATTCCGACAGCGAGGGTGCGGCGGTGACTGGCAGGACGATTCGCCGCGGTGGGCAGGGAGCAAGCCAAGCACGGTGGCGGATGGGACGATTCTGGCGGCGGAGATGGCGATAGTGCGACGGAATGCGTCGGGGGAGATGGGAGCACGCTCCCAGTCGCGGTTTCGCCCGCCGCGCCGTGTACCCCCTCTGCCGTCGTGAAACATGAGGGTAGAAACAGAGAAGGGTAGAGGAAGAAGGAGTATGACAAGTGGGTCCCACTTTAAATTTTTATTTATCTTTGATGACTAGGATGCCACGTGGACGCCATGTCAGCAAATACTACTATCAATACTACACTAGGAGTTAATTTGCACCGGCTTTAAGAGTTAAGGGGTTAACATATCTGGTATGCAAATGAGGGTCATGAAATAGATTTGGTCCATTTTTCAGGGAGTCAAAGTGAACTTAAGGCTATGTTGAAGGAGAAGGAGATAGAGAAGATTGGGAAGATACGCAAAACGAGGTGAGCCATTAGCGTATGATTAATTAAGTATTAACTATTTTAAACTTTAAAATAGATTAATATGATTTTTGAAAGCAACTTTCCTATAGAAAATTTTTACAAAAAATACACCGTTTAGTAGTTCGGGAAGCGTGCGCGCGGAAAACGAAACAAACTCACTCACAATCACCCGGGAAAGAACACAGGTGAGAATTGAAACCCTTCACCGCCCCCATGGACCTACGGGTGCAAATTTTGCCCTTGCCCTGGCCCCGTAGAGGTGGGGACCCGCCCCAACAAGGAATTGACACCCCTATTCTTTCGTTACTCTCTTCTCTTGCCTTCTGCGGCGGACAGCACAATTGCCCGCGGACACCACTGTCTTCTCTTCCACCTCCACTTTCACGAGAGTATCACCATTAAAAATTTATTAAAAAGTAGAAAAAGAGGAAGAAATCATGAACAAAATGAGAAGACATAGGGTTCTATAACATGAGCCCAACATGACCTTAGAGTGTAAGTTGATTGGCATGTTGGATGACAAGCCTGGTCAGGTTTGCTAAATTTTGACTTGAAGAATAAGATGGATAGGTTGTTGGAGTTGCTTTTTATATGCCATTGGTAAGTAACTTTACATGGTTTAGAAGTAATTTTTTATACCACGTTACAAGTATTGGTTTCCTGCTTTTTTATGCAATTTATGTCTTATTATGTTTTTTTCCCACCTATGTGCACAATTTTTATTTTGTACATCCATGCATGTAGTTGCTTCTAATTTTTAAACGGGGAAATTGTTCATTTGACCCTCTTTTCAAAACTAACTACCAATTTGACCACATTTTATCAACTTTGCTTATTTGACCCTTCTTTTTAAAATTGAACATACAATATGACCCTATTCTGTTAATGGCATCTAACGGTGTTAACTGAAGCATAAAATATCTCTTCTGCCCTTACTTATTCGACCCTATTACATGTGGGACCCACCCGTCAGTTCTCTCTTCTCCTCTCCTCCTCTCTTCTCTCTTCTCTCTTCTCTCTTCTTCTCTCCTCCACAGCTCCACTCATAGGGAGAAGGTGGCGAGCGGCGAGAAGGTGAGCCAGCGCCGGCCCGTAGCTATGGAGCACCGCCTACACTTCTCGTCGCCGCCGAGCCGTCGTCGCCCCTTTCTCACTGGATCCAGCCATCACAACTCCATCGCCGAGCCCTCCGCCTTCCTTTCTCCGCGCGCCGGCGGCGCCTCCTCTTCCCTCCACGCGGCGGTCGCTGCTGCCGCCTCCTACTCCCTCCTTCTGCGCGCCTGCGCCGGCGTCGCCGCTTCTTTCCTCTGGCACCGGTCGGCGCCGCAAGCCTGCAACTCACAAGAGAGAGAAAGAGGGGGGGTGTGTGGATAGGGTTTCTGAGGGTACTTTGGGCATTACAAATATTAATCACATTTCTTTTTTTTTTAAAAAAAAAATCAAACCTTAACGGATGAGTGGAAACAGGGTCAGACGGGAGGTTCGTTTTTGAAAAGGAGGGTCAAATAAGTAAAGTACAAAAGGTATATATGGTCAAATTGGTAGTTAGAGTTTAAAACGGGTCAAATAAGCATCCCTTTTTAAACATAACATTTTCTCTCTTTTATAGGGGACAAGCAGTTAAGTTTTATTAAAATTACTTCCCTGGTATATGTATGTTACATTCTTCCGGTGTGCAAGTTACTTCTAGAATTTATTGAATTGCTTTTTTCACCTTTTTCGCATAACTAGATACTATTTTCCTTACATCTGAATTAGTGAACGGAAGGATAAGGCAGAACATTGATTTATAGTGTGCCTTAATTTAAAAGCCAAAATATTTCGTAAGTTACTCAGAAGTTATGGGGAGTAACTTCCATATTTATGGAAGTAATTCCAGGAAATAAACTTTTTAAAGTAACTTTCTGTGAAACCTTTTCTGAGATGTAATTTCACCGGTACTTATGACATTTTCTCCTTTCTAACTTTTTTGATACTGTATCGAACCATGTAAATTACTTTTATCTAAAAATAAGGTTACTTATATCTGGAGCCAAAGTTAGTTCTATCTGAACCAAATTACTTATATCGAAAATCAAATTACTTCTATCAAACACTTGAATAGAGAGTTACTTCAATATAGAATCAAAACTACTTCTATCTGAAAACAAGGTTACTAGAACTTACTTCTACTAATTAAGTAAATTATTTTTCAATATTTTAATATATTTAATATTGGACTTGTTCTGTCATATTTTGAGTGAAATTCAATAACTAAACCAAATCTTTAAAATAATATACGGTTTGATATATATAAGTTCTTAAAGATTAAAAATAGACTAATAAGTAAGAAGGATTTATATCCAAAGCGCAGAGGTAAAATCTTTTTAAAAAAGTGTGCAAAGGGTTTTGGAAACATTATAGAAGTACGGATTGCTTTGATTGGATGGTATTTAGAGGTGTCGCACCGTAATACTAACTAGATGAATACCCCGCCGCGCTGCTGCGGGAAATTAAGTTGCAAAATATGTATATAAATAAGATGAGATATAAATATTAAAACTAAAACAAATTGATTCTTATAAATTTTGAAGCCTAAATTAAAATGATTGAGATTACTTGGTGTTATGAGAGAAGAAAGAAGAGAAAATTTAAGCCATAGATATATCATTCAATTGCTAGAAATAATTAGGGTGATGTGGCTTAATGAGAGAATGGAGAAATAGCATTTGGGGACGAACTAGGATTCGTGCATGTGCACATATCAGATTTTACGAATATTATTATACAGATTTCTCCTAGATTTCACAGGTGTGAACAGTGAAGACATATAAAAGAGAGTGAATATAAAAATCCACTCTCAAATAATCTTTACAATTTGGGCGAAATTTAACCAAGGCCACAACGCAAACTTTATACGACATGACACCACGTACGTTTTTTCTCCCTCACCTTTATTCTCGCGATAATTTGTTAGCCATAGTCTGGATATGATTCTGGAACGATCGATTCACCTCGATCACAGCTTGTTGGTCTTGGCGAGGTAGACGACGGCGCCGGAGGTGGCGACGGGGATGACGACGTCGTCGGAGAAGGACTTGAGGCCCGGGACGACCCTCTTGGCGAGGAGGGCGCAGACGGGGGCGCCGAAGAGGACGACCAGCACGTCCATGGTGGCCTTGCCGAAGGTGAAGCTGTTCACCTTGATCACCTGCCCGGCCAGCTCCATGAACTGCTTCCTGCTCAGGTTCTGCCCCTTCTGGGGGCTCTTGTTCACCCTCTGCGCTACCACCAAACTTAGTTAAATTACATGAGCTCCTTTATTAATCTTGTTGAAGAAATAATATAATATACTTTATCCGTTTCATATTATAAGTTGTTTGATTTTTTTTCTTAGTAAATTTATTTTTGTTTGATCGAGTTTATAGAAAAAAAATAACAACATCTACAACACTAAATTAGTTTGATTAAATTTAACATTGAATATATTTTGATAATATATTTGTTTTATATTAAAAATGTTACTATATTTACAAATTATATCAAACTTAAAGAATTTTGACTAAGGAAAAAGTCGAACGACTCATAATATGAACGGAGGGAGTAGCAAGCTGATTTTTTTCACCTGAGTAAAGAAAAATCGGCATGTAAGTTGTAAATTAGTGATCTAGTTATAAAAAAGTAATCGATAGACGGTTCTTTTTTCAAAAAAATCTGTCGAATTTAATAGGCTGTTTGATTTGCCTTAAGGTTCATGCTAGATTCCAAAAATCCGTGCACTACCACTGCACTACTACATGTTTTTTGAAATTTAGATGCTAGTTACATACAAATAATTATATATAAGTTACAATGTAATTATATTTTAATTATACTGTAAATATATTTGAAAGATTTTGAAGAAAGTTTCTGTCTAAAGAAATATATTCTCCTATCGGTAGATAAGAAAAAAAACAGGCATTTGACAAATAGATAACCCCTAGAAATAACTTATGCAATATATTGATTGAACGGCATATTATGAATACATGTATACAGTTAGGACATGTTTAGTTGGTGGCTAACTTCACCACACCTCACTTTATCAAAAAAGCGTAGAATGCCATACAAAAGCATGGACAACAATTTATTGTCCATAAATGAATTAAAATTTGATAAGAAATTAAGTGTATACTAACATATATATGGGGCTGAGGCTGAGGACTACCAAAGAATGGCATGCTTACAACCCATGGCATACTTAAGTTTTGGCTGCCAATGCCTTCAATTATGGTGTCTAAACCATTTGCAACAATTCTCGGAGGAAAGGTGAAGCTTCTGTCGAAGAGTTGTACACTGAAGTAAGCAAATTAAACAAGTCAGAGTTGTCTCTAACCTCGTACTGCTTCTGAAGTTCCGCTTTTTCCGGTATCCTGTACTGCAATTGCCCACGTTCCTCACAGAATTTTCTGAAGAGGAAGGCAAAGTAACAGAAACAAATGGTTAGGTAACAATGTCATTGCATGTATCGATGTTTTATATCATATCCTACTGCTTAATATGGCGCCATTGTCTTCTATGAATATAATCCTGCTCTTTTATCTTTTAAAAAAATGAATACGATCCTACTGTTCTAACTTTTCTTGTTCCAGTTTTTAGAATTAACAAAAATGCTTAGGCATGAAGTGAGAATTCCATCATTCCTCCAATGGTTCAACTAGACTACCTAACCAACCATGTGTAGCAAAACTGAAAATGAGAAATTAAGCTGGACTCTGAGCTTGGCCAAGACTGGATCAGATCAAAACTTACTCGATGAGCTCGTAGAAGGCATGGTAGAAATCTTCGAAGCTTGTCACGTCCTTGATCGAGTCGTAGTTTTTTTCCATGAAGTCGGTGAGATCCTTGGCATCCTTAGGTTTCGCAACCTTCTCGTCCTTGCCAGTCTTGTTCTCTGCCTGATCGCCACCTATCAACAAAAAATTAAGGATCAATCCTCCTATACACCTATCATCTGAATTCTTACATACACATGCAAATCACTAAGCAAAATTATACACCAAACTGTTAAATCAAAATTATACACCAAACTGTTAAATCTACCTATCGGTTGACAAAATAACAGTAGGAAATTAATAATCCTAAGCAATTATATGGATCTTTCCATGCAAAAAATAAAATAAATAAATAAATGGATCTTTGTGTTCATAGTACCTTGCTTCGCCTTGGCAGCAGCCTGGCCCATCGATCCTTGCCAAAGACAATGAGAGATGCAAGGTTAGCTCGTGATCACAAGGAAGAAATATGGTGTTTTCTGTGCAGATCCGAGCATGGGCAGAAGCATATATACATGTGTGCGCGCCGGTGTTCGTTGTGTGTGGCAAAGGCAACGGCATTACCGCTGCTGGAAGCAAAGTTGGGAGGCACCAGAGAAGGAAAGGGTCCAATGGCAGCAGCCACACTGGTTCTTGGATTCTTACTCCAATCGCAAGCGTTTTGGCTGGAATGGAATGAGCCAAAACAGGCGATTCGATCCTGACGCATCAAGCTCCGCAGGTTTGTGTGAAGAAAAATAATAGACATGGAGAGACGAGAAGGTCACAAGGCCCAAAGCCTCGAACTGAAGCTTTATGCTCCAAAATTCACATGATACAGCCGTGAATCCTGATCCCTCTTATATGTAGCCATCTTATCTTGTGCCACTTCATCATAGTCCTGTGTGTCCTGTATGTTTCAGAGAGGCATGCCATATTTAATGCATACTAAGAAAGGTCTACTCATCTCATGTGTTGCATTGCGATGGTAAAGAAAAGCAAGGGATTACCTGAGCATGTTAAATAATTATATACGGAATTACAACTTACAAGTCATCATTAGCACAGTTTTGTGGACACCCAGCAGGCCATCACACATGACAGTTAGAGTTCTTTATGAAAGGAGGTAAAAAGAATAATATTAAACACAATCCAGTGTCAAAAAAAATGCCTACAGGTTAACAAAATTACCATGCTATACATATAGACCAATGAGTTACTACTTGACTCGCTAATATTTGTGGCCACATTCCCTTAAATAGCTACATTCTCACCCTAAGATCTTACTGCTGCCGTATTCGTAAAAGATAATGAAATAAAAATAATCATCATGACAACAGGTCGCTCTGAAAGGGGCTTGATGTACAATTAAAAACTACTGCACATATCCAGTTGCTGTATTTTTGTGTGGCGGATGGCAAATCAATCCCACGGTTCCGCAATCCCAACCAGTTAAACACCAGCTGCAAAAGTTTGATGCTGTTGCAAGGACAGATGTGGTGTAGCTTTGCCAGCTTGCTCATATTCTACCAAGTGGTGACTCATCACTATGTTCATCGACAAGCCATAGCCCATGATCACGAAACCGTTTTATCTTCTTCTCAAATCCTGTGATATAGTTATTGTGTATGATGACATGCTTGCCCTTTGTTTCCTTTACCCATGTTTTATTCTTAAAATATAAACCTCCAGTTGGAAATGCAGACTGAGGCAGCAGATACACATCTACCTGCATGTATATCTTACATTAATAGTTTCCAAAGACTGTTTGGGGGCAAAGATCCAGGAACATACTGTATTACAACAAAGCAGAATAAAATGTAAAATTGACAAGATACTACCAAAATATAGAACAAAAAGCAAAGTAGAAGGGATATTAAATACAACTAGTAACATGCACATGCGTTACAACAGGATCTAGGGGAAGGATGTGCTCACAGTTCAACCCCCATACAGTGGTTCGGTTTTTTGGATGGTTTACTTTTTTCTATCCGGTTTTTATCGATGGGTTGGTCTTTCACAGGTTTTTGGGTGGAACTTTTTTGTTTGTTTGTTTGCTTTTTCGGAGAGGAGATGGCGTGAACGGTCTCGCAATGGGATGGGTGAGCAGAGGAATGAAACTCCCCTTTTAGAGTAATAGAGATATCTAGAAGCTAGAATGGGCAGCATGTTCGACCGGTTACAGGGAGATCATAAATTTTAAGAAAAAGGATTATCTTTACTACAAGATGTACTAAAAAGATTAAGGGACTCACAAGGAGATAGCAGAGCTCACTGATCCCAAATTGACCACAGGAAACTCCTCGTGATAGTTAAGAAAAAAAAGGGATTATCTTCAGAGATAATATGTACTCAACTTTCAAATTCGAAAAACTGAGTGCTGATGGCCAATATTGGCAGAGATTTTGTTGTTCGGTTTAAAGAACAGATTTGACAAGCCTTTTATTTAGTACAAAAATGATGATTTAGTGTCTCTTCATTCTTCCACTTAAAAACAATGCAAGCCAGTTTGCACTTGAACCAGGCCTATCCATTGATCAATTAAGTGTACACCAGTCACCACCCTGACTGAATCTGGTATAGAAGCAGTACTCATGCTAAAATCAACTCCAACTGGTTTAGTAATCAACCCTAACCAACCCAGCACTGAGTAGCACCAACAACAATGTAATGCAGGCAATAGTAAAAACCCAACCCCACACCTTCCAGTTGCAAATAATATTACTATGCGTACTTTTGAATTACTATGTCAAAATAATACTTAGCTCTGTTGTCCGCACTAAAGCAAACTAATAGTTGGTTCAACTGGCTAATTGTTCCCAAAATTATCCTAGTATATGCAGATGCAATTCAACCAAATGCTCCAAAGCATGAAGTCAATACATGTAACCACAAGAAATACTTGAGCAAGCTGTGTCCTGTCTGGATGCAATGTTGCATTATAAGAAATAAAATCTAGTGGAACAAACCTGTCCTGCAGTCTTGTTCAAAGCCCAGTTGAATGCTGGCTGATCATTTGCTTTCTGCTTCTTTGACCAGGGCTGCTCCTTGAGCTCCTCAATCCACTTCCTCAATAGCAGCTTAGCCCCTTCCGTTGGCCGCAGGAATATCATGCAGCTGCAGATGTAAGTCCGCCCCTTCTTACCAGGTGGTGGCAGCTCATGTGAATGATCCAATGGCTTCACCTGCATCCACAAACTCAACCCCAATAAGTTCTCCTCTAGGCAGTTCCAATGACAAACACAACAATTGCACGTACAGGAGTCATATCATCCATGAAGTACACGTCATGATCCCCGACGATATACGGGAATGGGTCGGCGAGCCACACCATGTCGACATCGTTGTACATGACACTGTACCCTAGCTCAAGAATCTGCAGCAAGTGCCGCGGCCGCCGCGAGGTGAAGTTAAAGAACCCCTGCACAATCACAAGCAGAAAGGCAAGAGTCACTCGCGCTGGCATTTCATCGAGCATCTGGGGGGCGCGCACCCCCCGGAAACCAGTCCTCTCACCTGGGATCCGAACTTGTGGGCGACCTGGGCGTCGGGCGCGGGGGGCACGAGGACGGCGTGTCCCGGCCACGCCGCATTGATCCGCTCGAGCGTGTCATAGTCCTCGGCGACGACGAGCACCTGGTCGGCGCGGCCGGCGCGGCGGACGGTGATGAGCCAGTTGGAGAGGAAGGGGAGGTAGGGCCCGGAGACGGCGGCGAGGACGATGGTGCCGTTTCCCGCGCGAGCGGCGAAGGCGGCGGCCTCCTGGAGCGTGTACCCCCGCCACGGCGAGGCGGGGGCAGAGGAGTGGCTGGGAGGGCCCCAGGGGAAGAGGAGGGCGAGGAGGAGGAGGAGCGCGAGGAGGGAGAAGAGGTAAGGGAGGGTGAGGAGTGGGAGCGGGCGAGAAGGCGCGGCGGCGGCGGCGGCGGCGGAGGCGGGGAGGGAGTCGGTCGCCGGCGGCTTCTGGTGCGGCCGCTGGTGGAGCGACATCGCCGGAGATCGGGATGGTGGGAGGAAGGAGAGTGAAGCGTGAGAAAGAGTGAGAGGGTGGCTTGATCCGGCGGCGGTAGTGAATCAGATCTCGGGTGGGGCCCAGCGGCCAGTGGCTGGCAGGACACAGGATGGTGAGCTGCCTATCTTTTGTTTTCTTTTTCTTAGCTTGTACCCCTGTCCCATAAAAAGCCAACTTTGTACTGAATATTGACATATCATAGTACTAGAAATCTAAACAGAGACTATGATACGTCACCATCAAATACTACGTTGAATTTCTGTGGGACAGAGGGAGTAGGGGGTTAATTTCTTTCAAATAGAGGCTTTCCTTTTTCTTAACTCGTATTGGTTTCTTTCGAATGGATGAGAAATATGGGAAAATAGAGGATTTGGATTCCTTAGGATTAGCTACTGTGTATACATTTGGTTTGAAGGATTTGGCCCTCTTGAATTTCATGGGAATGCTATTCACTCACCCATGTTTTCAGCTTTTCATAGGAAAAAAGAATCAAATCCAACCTCTTTATAAGAAATCCTTTGCATAAAGAACAAGGAACATTGATGGTGTTATGGTTCAATGATCCTTGTGAGTGGGTGGGCATATGGTAATAATGGACACCCACATATGATAAAATGGATAGGATTTAGTCTAAAAACCAAATGAGATTACTATTTACTCTATAATACATGTATTCTTCAGTTCCTGTGTGCAACATCTTATAAAATTCCTAGCAGCCTCATCGCTTCGCTTATTCGTGGAATAAGCCTAACAGCATATTTGTAAACGAAAAGTAATTTATGAATAAAATTATTATATATGTATTCTTAGCGATCTAAAAGCAACGACTTAGAAATAAACTTTGATAAAAAAACCTCAAAATCAACTTTAAATTTAAGGTTAAAAATTCAAATTTTGGTTGATAAATATAAACATAAGCGAAAAGATGAGGCCCCTGTTTTCTAATTCTTTGTTTCACGCGTGCAACCATATCATGTGTTTTCTCTGTTCCCATTGCATGAATCTTTAAGCGAACACAATGGCCCAAATTAAAATTCCTATTAAGAAAATAAAACTATCTACAGTTGTATAGCAAATCCATTTATATAATTTGTTTCGAGTTTAATGTTGGGGTATGATCCCTTGGTTTTACTGCTGAATATCTTTAGACAAAAACAAAAGTATAATCCTAAGGAGGAGAAGGAGCTCTGGCGGGAAAAGGGAGGGGAGGGCAGAGCGGCCGCCGTCGTATGCGCAGGCGGGGCACAGGCAAGCGAGGCGGACGCACTGGAGAGGGAGGAGCAGTCGGTGGCACATTGAATCCGGCGGCTATCGATGATGCGGACAACGGCGACGATCGCGACTAGAGATGGCACAGACGACGGCGGCGGTTGCGGCTGGTGACGACGACGCAAAGGACGGCGGCGATGGGGGTATGCGGATGGAGGGAGGCAGCTCCGGTGCCTCTCTCCTTCGTCTCGTCATTGACACCGGGCCGATGCAGAGAAGAGCCGAAGGAGATGGGAGGAGGAATGCGTGTGGGGCCCACGGTTGGCCAATGATTTTTGGCTGGTGTTGGTATTTCTTAACGATATTACTAGAAATATAATTCCCAGCAATGGCGCAGAAATACTTCTGATATATTATAGTTGCAGAGTTCATCCGCAAGCACATGGATATATCATTGTAGCATTTCACCCGAGAGTATTCCAAGGGTATCGCATTTATTTTATCCCGTGGAAAGATCATGTAGAGATAACTTGACTAATAATTTATATGTTACTTGTGATAATCAAAGTCTAAGCAGGAGTTAAGATAATCCAAGGATAGAGTGACACATAAGCAATTAAGTTACTCATTCTCATACTAAATTATCTAAGCTAAGTGGAAAGAAAAAAGAAAGAAAATCTATTCCTATACTTCTAAGTATATATACATTCTACGTATCTAAAATACTAGTTAATACCCTGTATTCGATGCCCTCCTGGTACTTCGAGAAGCCACCCCTGACTGCCGTGTTCCTTACGACAGCCCGTCATGACTATACAACCGGGGATAAATACGGAGGAGTACCCTCCCCAGGAAATTAACTTAGGACTATATACACGCGCGGAGGAATACCCATACTGAGTTGTCACCATCAGCGGCTCACCTCTCATCCGTAGCATATAACCCCAAATAATGATATCCCATAATCTAGACACCACGTCTAAACTACCAGATACTACTCTAATATCATCGTCATGACATAGAGTAATTGCATAAGCAAACATTATACCCGCATCAAAGCATCTCCCAGATAAGCTAGCAGTATATTTAATATAACATGAATATAATGTAAAGTAGACATTCATATACTCGGAAAGTATTTCAATACCATAAATGTATAAAGAAGAGTATTCTAAATAAAGTACAAAGCTTACAGAAGAGGAAAGGAAAGCTACTAGAGCCATGCCCGAACTCTTCCGAAGGCTTCCGGACTCCCGATTTCTATTCTATTCCTATTCCACTAGCTAGATAACACTAAACTAACTTGAGAGAATATGAGAGAGCTCTTGCTTGAGGTGTGTGAAGAGAGTGAGGAGGTGAAGTCCTTTTATAGCCTCCCAGTGACGGTTATGGCAGTTGGAATGGTCGGAAATGCCCTCTAACCGTTATTGGGGAGCAATCCTGGATGTCCACGCCAAACCCTGCATCCAACAGCATCAGGATGGACCATGGGCTGGGCCATCCCGGCCCATCTTCGGCTGGCGGCCTCCTCTATTGCTCTCCTTCGTAGACTTGTGAACTTTGGTCTAATTGGTTGTGTCATTTTTGAGTTCTTGGCACATTCATGCATAAGTCTGATTGTCGACATCGTCCGATTGATTTATCGTCTGAGTTGATGTCGATTCTCCTCCACTTTATGATTATTGCATAAGTCTGATCGTCGACATCGTCCGATTGATTTATCGTCTGAGTTGATGTCGATTCTCCTCCACTTTATGATTATTCCCTGCAAAAGGTTAGTACACCTAATACTAGTGGAATATTATTATTCTAACATATATATGCATTGCAATTTGCAAGCATAACTAGTTCTACTCTATTTTGGTAATATTGACGGTCGAAACCGATCGATAACGACCGTCAACAGCTGGCCAAATTTAGGTACCACACCAAGAAGAGAACATATATCTTCTTTTTTATAAAACGGAAGATGAATAAACATAAGATGGATCGAGCAATATTAATGCAGCGCAAAAAAAAAATGGCGTAGCAAAGAGGAAGGGAAACGCTTTTCCTTTATCTCCAAACGGAATTGGACTGTTTATCCATCATCAGCATTTTGATAGTAAGAATTCTGCATGTTCCCTGCTCCACATTACTACATGATTGCCACATGCTTCACATGCTCGAGGCCCAGATTAGTGAACTGAATATTTGCAAATACTGAAGCTGATCAGACGAACCGTTCCGATATTTTCTATCAATAGATCTGCAATATCTCTTTGTTGGGAGAAAAAAATATTTCTTCTTTACAACCATGGGGAAAAAAATACAACCTAAACAGCAAGAAAAACAAAAAAAAAAGAAAAGAAAAGAAAAAAAGATCACCATCCATTCCATCAGACCATCACCGACATGTGGGGGCAAACCATTACTACCAGGAAAAAGAAAAGAAGAACACTTGGAGGTGGTTAGGGTTAGAGCTGGCCCGAGCTATACAGTACACCCATCCAGCTAGACATCTCGATGCTAACCCCAACCAATAATTAAACCAGGAGCAAAAACAAAACACGCAGAATTAAATAAAAGAGAGATACAAATAATCAATCCTGAATTTGTTAATCCCAGCAAGGTCGTCGATGGCAACGGCAACGGGGGGGGGGGGGGGGGGGGGGTTGTTGATACGTCCACGAGACGAGCCAGCAGCAGCCGCACCAACTACTGAAACCCACACACAAACACAGTGGCGAGCGGCGAGCCGAGTGCCACCGACAGAAAGAGGGAGGAGAGGCTCTGTCACCTGCGCCTTTTTTATTCCCCCGCGGTAGTGTCGGTTTCCCCTTGCCTTGCCTGGCGGTTGGCGCGTCGCATCTACCCCTGCTACTAGTAGTACCACTTCTCGCGGCGAGAAAATGCCGCAATATATTTGCTTCCACCGAGGCGCAGAGCGGAGGAGAGTGACGAGCTGACGCACGCGGCGCGGCGGACCAGCTCAATTTGCCTGCCGCTCCTCGTCTTCCGGTGGGGCGGAGGAGGGGGACGCCGGGCGGGCGGGCGCTCGCATTCCGGAGCGGGGAGCGCGAGCTCGATCGGGCGGGGATATGGCGGTGGGGGGAGCCGGGAGCTCCAGATCCGTGGCGCCGTGCTGCTGCTGCGCCGTGCTGCTCGCGGCGGCGCTGCTCTTCTCCGCGCCGGCCACCACAGGTTTCCCCGGCTCTCGCTCCTTCTCTCTCTCTCTCTCTGTTTGCGCCTGCCAGCTCGTGCCGTGCCGGTCTCAGATCCATGCGCCGGCCCGATCGCCGAGGCTCTCGACTAACTTTCACGAGTTGTGACCACGAGATTTGGGCAATGCGATCCCCTCCTGACTGTGTCGGTGGCTCCAGTTCGGTGTGTCGGTGGCTTTTTTTTTTTTTTTGAATTCCGATTCGTTTCATCAGTAATTCAGTTCGTTTCGCTCCTGCTTTTGCCAGAATTCTTGGAGCAGATTAGGTAGCAGTAATTCAGTTCGTTTCGCTCCCGCTTGACCGGATTCTTGGATCAGGTTAGGTAGCTTAGATCCATTGAGAGGAGCACGCATGGAGCTTCCTTCCCACACTAATCAGTGCCCAAGGTGATAGATCTGATCAGGAGAGGCGAATTCGAAAAAAAATTCCCTTCCAGATCGAAATCGGGATCACGATATAACTAACTCATGGGGCTTATTCATCTGCCGAACTGCTAATTTACCCCCATTTCGTTTCCCTTGTTCAGGATCTTGATATGCAACTCTTTTTTGTTTTCCTCTTGCAGAGGCTTATGATGCGCTGGATCCAAATGGAAACATCACGATAAAATGGGACGTTATGTCGTGGACTCCTGATGGCTATGTTGTAAGTAGCAACCCCACACCAAAAAATGCATCTTGTATTGTTCGTTCAAAAAAATCCATCTGCATCTTGTTTCCCCAACTATTATTAGGCCATAATTTTATTTTATTTGATACTACTACAAGTTGTCTTTGAAGTACAAAGTTGATAGCATAACCAGCAGCTGGTCAGAAACATATGCAGCAATTAACAATAATAAACACGAGTTTTATGTCAGCATATTATGGATACTCTGATTATCTTGTATATGTGTGTCATGATTTCCCCCCAAAATGTTTCTTGTGCAGGCTGTGGTCACGATGTTCAACTATCAACAATTCCGGCACATCCAGGCACCTGGGTGGCAGCTGGGGTGGACATGGGCAAAGAAGGAGGTCATTTGGTCGATGGTTGGAGCACAGACCACTGAGCAGGGCGATTGCTCAAAGTTCAAGGGTGGCACGCCCCACTGCTGCAAGAAGGATCCCACAGTTGTTGATCTGCTTCCGGGCACCCCATACAACATGCAAATCGCTAATTGCTGCAAAGCTGGAGTTATAAATACATTTAACCAGGACCCATCAAATGCTGCTTCTTCCTTCCAGATCAGTGTAGGTCTTGCTGGGACTACCAACAAGACAGTTAAGTTGCCTAAGAACTTCACTCTTAAGGCCCCAGGTCCTGGGTACACGTGCGGGCGTGCTATGATTGTCAGGCCTACTAAGTTTTTCACCGGGGATGGGCGCAGAGCAACCCAAGCTCTAAGTAAGTAGCTCATCTGTTGTTCTTTAATGTTTAATACCAATTGCTTTCATTCTTTGAGGAAATGCATTTGCAGCCTAAACAACAATTGCATGGTTGAACTAGGTTACCTTATGTGTAGGGTTAGTAAGAAGATGTAATCTGTTGAAGGGAAAGAGATTGTTCTCAAAGTGAGATGAGTCCAACTGTGAATAATAGTTGATAATAGGTTATATTACTTGGCATGTTGGCCTAATAGAATACAGCTAATTCAGTTAATATTATTCTCTAGCAAATAATATTCGTCAAATGCAGACATGCATCATAGTGGCTCCATATAGAAGTTAAATTTGTCAAAATCTTATACCATAAAGTTCATTTTTGTTTTTTGTTTCTTAACAAAAATAAAATCTGTTTGCAGTGACATGGAATGTGACCTGCACATACTCCCAATTTCTTGCTCAGAAGACTCCTTCCTGCTGTGTATCTCTCTCATCATTTTATAATGACACAATTGTGAACTGCCCAACATGCTCTTGTGGCTGCCAAAACAATGGGACAAGTCCTGGAAGCTGTGTAAAGTGAGTTAATAAAACCAAAACTCTTACTTCGCTTCTTGTTGAGGCCCAACTTTTCTGCAAAATTGCTAACAAGTTCCATGCATTTCCACAGTGAGAATTCACCTTATTTACAATCTGCCATTGATGGCCCTGGCAAATGGACCGGTCAGCCTCTTGTCCAATGTACTTCTCACATGTGCCCGATCAGAATCCACTGGCATGTGAAACTCAACTATAAGGAATATTGGAGAGTGAAGATCACGATTACGAACTTCAACTACCGCATGAATTACACACAGTGGAATTTGGTCGCTCAACATCCTAACTTCAATAATATCACCCAGCTGTTTAGCTTCAACTACAAGCCACTTACTCCATATGGAAGCAAGATAAGTAAGTCAATTTACAAACTGTTCTCCTTTATTTAAGAAAATTGGAGTGCACTTGTAATACGTTCCTTTATCTCTCTCTCTCTCTCTCTTTCTCTGATGAAGTTTATTCCTTCTATTTTAGATGATACTGCGATGTTCTGGGGAGTTAAGTTCTATAACGATTTGCTCATGCAAGCTGGTCCACTTGGAAATGCACAGTCAGAACTTCTTCTGCGTAAGGATTCCAAGGACTTCACCTTTGACAAGGGATGGGCCTTCCCACACCGCGTGTACTTCAATGGTGATAATTGTGTCATGCCACCTCCGGATGCATATCCATGGTTGCCTAATGCAAGTCCTCTGACAAAACAACCATTGACACTCTCGGTTTTGGTATTTTCGATTGTGTTGGCTACTTTGCTGGCTTATGCATGATGAGTGAAACCAAGAAATTCGGTGAGCTTCAAGTTGTCAGGTTCCATGGTGTGCACTGCAACAGATCATTTGTTCATTCAGTTCCACGGTTGCATAGAAGAGAAGATGTCACGCTGAGGAAAGCTGATATGTGTGTGTGTGTTGTATGTTAAAAGAAGGCCAAAATGTATTTCTTTTTTGGTATATATACTGGCCACAGCATTTTGGTGAACTTAGTTACTGCAAACTAGATAATTACAGTTGCACCTTTTGTATGTTATAGCAACCAGAAATTCAATTGAATTATATGACTTCCCTTCTTGTAGTACATGTATAGACTCCGTAATAATGTTCTGTATGATTTTGTGAACAGAAAGGATGCTGTTGATTGAGATCATTTAGTTTTGTTTCTTGTTTCATCAGGTGTATTGAGCTAAGTAATCGAATTAACTGATGCTTATGTTCAATTGTTTAAAAAAAAAAGCTGTGTTGGATTACTGAGAGCATGTAATCCAAGGATCAGAAAACATAGCATGCAAAAACATGTTGTAGTAGTAGAAAATTGAAGTACAGCGCTCCTCTTTTTGAACTGTGGCAACTTTTTATGAGAGATTGAACTGTAGCAACTTGAAATTGCAATAATGTAACAACGGCCGTCATGCTTGCTACTACTACCTAGCATTACGAATTTGGACAGATTTTTACCTAGCAAGGCTCCCACCGACATGTTTAATGGGTTCCTTTCAAGAGCTAAGGTTCTTAGATGCATCTGGTTTTAGGAATATATTTGTATGCGAGAGAGATCAATTCCTAAATGACTCCAAATGCGACTCATCACAAGTATTTACAGTAAACATTTGTGTGTGACAGATCATTCCTAAATGGAGTTGAAATCTTGGAACAAAAAAAAAAGTTGAAATCATAATCTTTAGCCAACATAAGGATAGATCTAAGGATTATTTAACCAAACTAGATGAGCAAGTCTGAAAAGGAGAACCAAACCAGGAGGTGTAATCTTCTCTAATGTTAATATGTGGGAACTTCAAGAGAAAAGGATCTACAAGAATAATTTACTGCAAACTGTCCCACGACATCATAGATAGCAAACAGAATTCAAACACTCTTACCTTTATAGATTGTCCTGGATAAACCTCCTCTTGCACATCCTCAAACATGCTAATTGCTAAGCCTTCTCCAAACGGAGCCATGTTTTGGCATGCATGTGTCAAGAAGCTTCATACTACTTCTGCTCTGAATTCTGAACTCTTCAGAGATCAACCAGGGAGCAAATGCCGCCCATGGCATGGTATAAATACCCACGAGAAGAGCTCAAAGATGCAGTGAAATGGAAGGATGGATGGTTCAGCCATAGCTTTTGGTTTGTTGGCCAGTTGCATTTCCAAGCAAGCCTCAGCTTGAACCTCACCATTCTCACCATCTTCTTCCACATGTTGGTTGTTGTTTGCTCTGCCTCTAAGCAATGCCATCCCAAGTGAGTGACATTTTTGCACAACGAATCAAGCAATGTGCAACCTTCCAGATCATTCAGGAGAAAAATTCATAACTATTACTCCCTCCGTTTCATGATATAAGACTTTCTAGCATTGCCATATTCATATAGATGTTAATGAATCTAGACACACATATATTTCTAGATTCATTAATATCTATATAAATGTGAGCAATGCTAAAAAGCCTTACATTATGAAATAGAGAAAATATATAAAGTAATGTTGAACCTGAAGTATTTCCGAGGGAGAAAAAAGAGGGCTGACGACAGTTACTTTACATCCTTTTGAAATCTACTGCTCAACTCTCTGCACCTTATTCAGATTTTTTTTTTAAAAAAAAAAGTTTAATGGAGGATTTGATGGGATAAGTTGGAAGGAGAAAATGAGGAAACTATCGAGTAAATGTTCTACGTTTAAGATAAGAATGCTGTTGATAAATCCCGACACATGAAAAACAAGATATATTCTTATGTAATTTTCAGATTTGCATAACAAAATATTCTGAAAAAAAGAAGTACCAGACAAAACTCATGATATTCGGTGCTTAAAAAAAAGAACCCATGGTATTCAATCAAAAGCAGCAACAGTTGCATGTAATTTTATTTACCAGCTCATTTACATTGCCGAGATTTTTAAACAGACCATGGAATCCAAAAATACATCAAATGATCGTCAAATAGCGCCATCAATTTCATACAAATATTTGAATCCATGTACCTAAGAACTCAATGTTGTGACCGTTGGTCTTATTTGAAAAAAAATTATGATTAATATTTTTATTGTTATTAGATGATAAAACATGAATAATACTTTATGTGTGACTTTTTTTAAAAAAAAATCATAAAATTTCCAAATAAGACGTCAAACGTTGGACACATATGCCTACGGCTTCACTTATTTTTTTGACGGAGGTATACCTATGATATCAAATCATATGGACGAATCAACTCTTTGATACCTGATTTCAGGCAAAAGCAGCTAGACCTTTTCTCATCTCGTGGTAATCAGGGGCAGACTATGGACTCGGGAGAGAGGGCCCACTTGTTTCAAGTTTTAACTATATCATTTGGATCTTGGCCTAACTCATAATGGGCCAGCCCGTGACCTGCTTCAATCGTAGGTCCACCGTCCACCCCTAGTGGCAATGATTTGGCCGTGCCCCACAAATAATGTGATGTGGTAAAAGTTACCACTCCATTATCATAGTACATGGTATGGTAATATTAGCTTTCCTATAATGTGCCCAGCAAACATGTTCCTTTTTAGGGTAAAGTCCATTTTAGCCATTGAACTTTTGATCATAGTCCATTTTCACCCTTAACTACAAACATCGTTTCTTTTTCACCCTCAACTTCCAAAACAGGAAAAATACATCCTAAACCATATTTTACAATGGTTTTGATGGATATAATGGTGGTTTTTCACTAACATGAACTTCAATTAGCTAAATTTCATAGTAGTGGGTCTAATTACGTGACATCTACATCTGTAAAATTTGCATAATGAAAGTACGAACTAGAAAAACCACCTTAATTTTAAACGAAATGGCTAAAAAAACACGTTCCAAGGTGTTGTTTGTCCAGTTTTGAAAGTTGAAAATAATGGACTTCAAGTAAAATTGAAGGCCCAAAATGGACTTTATCATTAGTTTTAATAAGTTATTAAAGGATTTATTTTTAAATTTAAATAAAATTCTCAAAAATAAAACAATAAAGTTATATTTAATTTCCATTCCTTTTGCTATTTATGTACGGATAAACGTTATAATCCGTAGCCCATTTCACCTTTCGGTCTACTAGTTTGAGCTACAGCAAAGCCATTTAATATTGAATTCTGTTACGCAACCTTAACTTTTAGACTACTAAGGGCAATGACAATTGTCGACGGGTTATACCGATTATGGTATTTGTAATGTATTGGAGAGACTTAGTATTAGGCTATACGCGAGATTACGGTAAAAGAGATGGGAGATAAGGATTTTTATACAGGTTTGGCCCCCCTACTAATAGGTAATAGCCCTACTCCTTTAGATCAAAGCCAGTGTTACTATTGTATAATCAATCCCTCACAAGTACAATGAGGAGGAGAATCTAATCTAGTCTCTGTTAGGTCTTTAGCTTCCTCGAATAAGAATTCGGCAAGATTGGAGGTAGCTTGTATTGCCCTGGCTTTTGTGGCTCTGTAGTGGACTTGTCTTAGCGTCTTTGCTTGTTCCCTCTCCTCCTGCGAGATATTATATTTATATCCTTAGATATCTCCTGGTCAAGTATGAATACAATTCGAGTAGATTTTGTAGTGGCTGAGTAGGACTTTGCTTCACTTTACTTATCAGGACTCTTTACTTATCCACTCAGGACCTTTGCCATACGATAAGACTTTGATTCTGTATAAAACTTGTATATAGTGGGCCCCGCTGAGCTTAGTACATAAGTATTGGGTATGTTATATTTAGAATACCAATAGTAATGTATATTGCTAAATCACTTTTCAATGGTGAGGTTCTACAAGGGCATTTCTAATGCTTATGAACCTAGGTGGTATCAGGGTTTACCTTAGCGTTTGGGTCGGGGTTACCGTCACCCCACGGTAGCACGATAACCACGATAATCGTCTAAAATCGCACAAAAATCACATCTGAAAATTCAAATTCAGAACTCGGCGGTTTCGCGGTTTCACCGTGATAATCGCACGGTTCACCGCAATAACCACGATATTCGCACGGTTATCACGGGCTGTGTAGCTGAAATCATGTAAATGAAAAATAAATAGGGAAAAAAATAAAAAATATGGTTGAATATATATAGAAAACTAGAAATTGAGAATAATTGGAAGAATATGTAGGATACTTGAGGCCCAATATTGTCTTCCTTTTTTCCAATTTGTAAAGTTTTTTTGGTTTTGCCCTCAAATTTGAATTTAGCTTACTCTATTTCAAAAATTTTCTTCACCATTGGCAATTACAAATCAAGAATTACATCCATTATTTTTTTTCAATTTTTTTTATTTTTTTCCGGAATTTTGAATTTGGTTAAAGTTCATCCAAACCATATCGGCGGTTTCCCCTACCGTACCCCGCGGTAAGCATGATAACCGCGATAATAGCGTGATTATCGCGCGATAAGTGAAACCTTGGGTGGTATTAAGGTAGGTCTCACCATTTCTATTACCGTTGGCACAATGCTTGAAGCAAGTCTAGTGTTAAGTTGGGCTCTATGTCTCATTGAAAATAGTACTTTTTTACTAGCCATCTCAGGCTCTGGTTTATAGAGCTTCTAGCAGCTGTAACTTTTTCTAGAATCTTCAGCTCCTCAAATAGTCTAGATTTTTACCTAGATTAATCCAAAAAATAAAGTAAAAGCTAAAAGTTAGGAAACACATATTTTCCAGATTCTTAGAAGTTGGCAACCAACCAGCTACTTTTAAGAATCTTAAACTCCTCGAACAGGACCTTAGGGCCTGATTAGATCCCATTGTAAAATTTTTCATCCTGTCACATTGAATGTTTGGACACATGCATAGAGTATTAAATATAAAAAAACTAATTACATAGATTGCGTGTAAATTGCGAGACGAATCTTTTAAGCCTTATTGCTCCATGATCTGACAATGTGGTGCTATAGTAAAATTTGCTAATGACGGATTAATTAGGCTTAATAAATTCATCTCGGAGTTTACATGCGGAATCTGTAATTTGTTTTGTTATTAGTCTACGTTTAATACTTTAAATGTATATTCGTATATCCAATTTGACACGTCAAAACTTTTCACCCTTGATCTAAGCACAGCCTTAATATCTGCGCATATCTGTTTTACCTCATTATTTTTTTTGCTTGTGAGAGAGCCTCTTGCATTGAATGCTTGTGGCTTATGTCTACAATGTATATGCCTACAAATCAAGCTTATGACCTCTTTATGGTCATATTGTGGCTACCCTGATGAGTAGAATCTAAGGTGTGATCCATTATATAGTAAATGAGTGAGGAGAAAGAGAATGATATTTATTTATATAGTACATAAGATCATCCGCAATGTATGTTGTAAGTGGTTCTATAGGAGAGAAGGAGATAGAATTGGCTCTACACTTTACATCATTTGTTCCAACCCTTTTCACCTTAGGGTGTGGTTAGTTCTTTGGTTGTAAAGTTTTTGAAGTATACGGACACATATTTGAAGTATTAAACATAGACTAATAACAAAACAAATTACAAATTCTGCCTGTAAACTGCAAGACGAATTTATTAAGCTCAATTAATCTGTCATTAGCAAATATTTACTGTACGTAGCACCACATTATCAAATTATGGTGTAATTAGACTCAAAAGATTCATCTCGCAATTTACATACAAACTGTGCAGTTGGTTTTTCCCACATTTAATCTCCATATATATGTCTAAACATTTGATATGATGTTTTTGGCCTTTTTTTTTATCAAATAAGGCCTTAGAACCAGATACTTAACATAATGCCTAGCACTAGACTCTAGAGGAGAGAGAGAGTTTGTGTCCGAGCCCACCTGTCACAGGCTAGTACATATATAGTTTATGGTGGGTTATGGTACCTTGCTAGCCCTATAGGTTGCACAAGCTTTCACATGATTTTATTCTCACCGTAGAGTTCATCCACTAGATCATGTGATGGATTATATATTGACCATGCTCTAACGGTATCTTCATATGGATTACGGCCCCGTTGGTTAGATGAACTAATTATTAGCCCCCACCTTTTGACCATAAATTAGCCCTAAGAATCTAAACAGGTAGGCTAATTTAGGGCTAAAGTGAATTAGTCCCCCTCAAAACATTAGCCACTCCAATGGGTGCTAATGGGGCTAATTTTCCGTGAGAACCATCAAAAAGCAGCCCTATCTCCCTCTCTCTACTCTCTCTCCACATTTTAGCCCTAAATTAGCCTATGGATCTAAACATGTTACCCTAGGCTAATGTTTAGCCCACCAATTCAAGACTAAACCTTAGCTCAAAATTAACCTCGGGCTAATCTTCCAAACAGGACCTATATATTGACCATGCTCTAAGGGTAGCTCATCACATAAACCACTGTGTACTACTATTACAATAGTGAGATGGACTATACGAAAGGATTTTTTTAGTGTACCTCTGAATGAATATGGACCGTTAAAGAGATGAGATCTAAGGGTGAGTGTCCAAGTCCAAGTCTTACTCTAACATTATTTTATTGACATCGGCCACTTATCTTTGCCTTATAAGTTATATGCCACATCCTAGAAATCCCTTTCAAACATGTCCGACCCAAAAAATTATACCAAATACATTTTGCAGTTGAACGAAGAGGTCAAATGTGGCGGTGCTACAAACAAAAATGCTCCCCATGAGTTTAAACTTTTGGTGATGGCATGCATCTTACATTCTTAAAGGGGATTCACAAAGTGGAAATAGAGAGGGTCTTAAGCCTCTTAAGTACATTCTTTATATATTGTGCAAGTGGTCATTATAGGTAGAAGTATATAGCTAATAGGGGGGGGGGGATCCAAGAGTCACCCTAGTAGCAGCTGTTTTTCCATTTCCTCTGCATGATTTCACGCGCAACGGAAAGCGCGGGAACCCAAGAGGCGATGGCCGGCCGTAACGGCGAACCTAAGGCGCCACGGCGCCGGATGACCGAGACGCCGCCGTCGCGCTGCCCTCGCCATCGTCGCCGGGCGACTTGCTGACGACGCCGTCCAAGAACTCGGCCAGCACCGGGTCTCGCACCGGAGTAGTGGACCGCACGCAGCAGACCTGCTCGACGCCGACCTCCGCCATGGCCCCGGCGAGCGGCCCCTCCGCCCACCGCACCGAGAAACGGCACGCGCACCGCTCCTCGCCGTCCACCGTCTCGTGCGCCGCCGGCGAGACCTGCGTTTTCGCCGGCGTTTCACGGCTCGAACAACCAGCGGGAGGGAGGAGGAGGAGGGCCGGTGCGGTACGTACGGATTCGAGGACGGCGTCGAAGAACTTGAGCTCGACGCCGCCGGCGAGGGCGCAGGCGACGCAGAGCGGGTCGCCGGGGCGGAGGTCGCGGCAGCGGGCGTCGTCGAGAGGCGTGGACGGCGCGCGGAACCTGGCGCGGAGCGCGGCCGCGTCGAGCGGGTCGTACCACTCGTCCTGCTCCTCGGTGAACAGCTCGTACATGACGCGCAGCGCGCCCCCCTGCACCGCCACCCGCGCCTCGTACCACGCGCCGTCCGCCGGAGAGCGGAACTCCAGGCGGGACGGCGACGGCGGGCGGCGAGGCGGCGGCGGCGGCCCCGCCGGGGCAGGGGCCTTCCGCTTCTTTCGCGGTGGTGGCATCGACGCGGCGCGGTGCGTGTACACACTGGCGATGGTCTCGGTGGTAACCGCGCTAATGGGGTGTTTTGGACTCGAGACGGCCAACGCCTATGGTAACCGTGTGTACAATTTAGGCCCTATTTAGATCCCACCCTAAAATTTTTCACCCTTTACATCGAACGTTTGAACATCTGAAGTATTAAATATAGGCTAAAAATAACTAATTATACAGATTGCAACTAATTTGCTAGACGAATCTTTTAAGCCTAATTGCTTCATGATTTGAAAATGTGGTGCTACAGTAAATATTTGCTAATAACGGATTAATTAGGCTTAATAAATTCGTCTCGCGGTTTACTGACGAATTCTGTAATTGTTTTTTTTATTAGTGACTAAACACCCCATGCGACACTCCATATGATGTGACACACCAAAATTTTACACCCCTAGATATAAACACCCCCTTAAAGCCTTTTCAAACTCTGTTTTTGGGAAATGATCCTGTCCCTACTGTTTGAACAGGATACTGTGGGTACTTGATATACCAGATAAAATTGAGATCATGCCATCCTCAAATATGGGTTTACTATGGTATTCACTACAATATCATTTCTTCCCTTTCTCCCAAACTAAAATCATTTTACTGTTTTTCATAATTTGACTCACCAAAATACCCCCGGTTGAATCCATTGAATCTAACTAGGGTTTCCCTTACTGCCGGTATCCACGGGATTACCTGTAGGATTTAGGGAATTTTGACAAAATTCAAAATTTCCCAAAAGAAACTGAAAAAAAATTCCAAAAATATCATGGTTGTGGTTCTTGATTTTTAGTGGTAGATGGTGAAGAAATTTTATAAAAAAAAGAGTAAGACAAAATTAAATTTGAGGACAAAACAGATAATGGTTTAGAAAATAGAAAAAGGAAAAAAAAAGGGCCTTAAGTTGCATGGTGCAACCAGTCCATTAAGGCCCAATAGAGAAGAAAATATATCTTGAGCCCTAATTTTTGTATTTTACACCCAAAAATTAGGTTTGCAAGTATGTTATATATTCTTTCAATTATTCATAATATCTATACACATTTAATTGTTTTTTTAAAGTTTAGCATTGTTCTGTTCAGCTACAAAACTCATAGTTACCATGCAAATATCACGGTTACCGCGTCAAACCGTGCTGTAACCACAACCAGACCACGAAACCTCCAAATTTTGAATTCAAATGCTTATCAACGAAATTCACACGGTTTTCGGCGGTTACCGTGCGAGTTAATCTAATCACGTAAGACTTGTCACGCTCAAGTCCGCTCCGTCTTCGTCTTCCTGCCGAGAGCAGAAACAAGCTCCACCCTCCAGTTCGTCGGCGTTAGCCCCGCCCTTCGTCGGCATTCCGCGCCCATGGACTGCCCCAAGGTCGGCCCACCGACACGGTGACACCTAGCGTGAACTGCTTGCCGTCGACCACTGTCGACACCGTGCAGGTCGACCTCGCTCCTCTGATTGTTTAGTGATCGGTAGCTCGATCTCTGTGTGTGTCTGTGTGTTAGGTGTCTAGGGCTGTGTTTAGCTCAAATGCAAAGTTTAGATTTTGATTGAAATTGGAGATGATGTGACTAAAAAGTTGTGTGTATGACAGGTTAATGTGATAGAAAAGGACTGAAGTTTGGATCTAAACTTTAAATCTAAACACAGCCTAAGCGAGGTAGCAAGCCTGCATTTTTTGTGTGTTAGGAGAACGAGTCGTATTCCTCCTCTCTCTCTCTCTTGTTCCTCCTCTGTCACCTTCCAGCAGCAACAGAGGCCTGGCAGTGGCGCGGGTACACCTTGCTTTGCATGCAACAGCCGCCGTCGCTGGTGTCGGGTAGCATGTCTCGGGCGGGCGCGCGTCCTCATGGTCGGCTGGATGCACGTACGTGTGGACGAGTAGTAGCTCGCCAACCGGGCTGCGCTCGAGAGGAGGAACTCGTCGCCTCGTCGGCCGGGCCGGCGGCACACGAGGGGAGGAGCTGGGCAGCCGCGGCGCGCAGTGGAGGAGCTCGCGCTCCCCCGACGACGTAGGGTGACCTGCTGAAGTGCTGAGCCATGTGCTGTAGGATGCGAGGCAGGACAAGGAGCGCGCCGCCGCCTACCTGGAGCGCGCGGTCCAGGGCTATGAGTGATGTGTTTGGGGGCCGGGGAGGGGGGTGACGGTGGGGTGGATCTCGTCGGGGGGCTGAGTGGGGTGAAGAGCTCTCTGGTCGGGGCGCCAAGGGGGAGGAGTCGTCGGCCATCGTGTGCGGGGGAGGAGCTTGCCGGCCAACTAACTCAGCGAGTCAATTACAGTCTAATTGCCATGTCAGCAGAAACCGTTTTCAAAAGAAGTTAATTTGCACTGATTTTCGAAAATGAGGTATACGTTATACCCGGTTTTACGGTTCAAGGAGACGATTCAAACCAGAGTGAGAAATTAGGGACGTAAAATAGACTTATCCTCTTCTTAATTAGATGAGGACCATATGCCTAGGAAAAAGTAGACCCAAGGTCCCTCAACTTGTCATTGAGATACAAAATCATCCTCCAATCGCAAAACCAGATATCGGTCATCCCTCAACTACCAAAACCATTCGCTTTAGGTCCCTCGATGGTTTTGACCCCGGTTTTATCTGATGTGGCGGCTGAGTCAGCGTGGGACCCACATGGGCCCCACATGTCAGGCTACCACATCATCTCCCTCCCTCCCTCTCTCTTTTCTCCTCGCTCATGGCTCACTCGCTACAGGGCGGCTGGCGGGCGCACGCGGTCGCCGGGGGACGACGGCGAGGTGGGCGGCGGCAGCGGCGGGGGTGGGGATGAGAATGGCGGGGAAGAGGAGGGGAGCGAGTCGAGGGCGGCGGGGGAGACTGTGTCGGCGGCGAGGTGGGAGAGGAGGGCGTCGGCGGCCCCCACACCCGCAACAACCCAGCACACGCCGCCGATGCCCGGCGGTCCCTCGCGCGCCGCCGTTGCGGACGACGACGACGAGCTCTCGCGCCTCCTCTCCCTGGCCAAGGCCAACCTCGACGCTGGCCACCTCTGCGCCGCCCGCCTTGACCCGGACTCCCCGCGCGGTTCGCTCCTCCTCACTGTCGTCTCCGTCCTCGTCGCCGACCACTCCTCCCACCGCGCCACCCTCCTCGCCATCGCCAGTGGTGTCGCCCTGGACGAAGGTGGTGGGGAACGGGGTGGTGTCAATGGTGCGCGGGACAACGGGCCTTGGGGAAGACGGGAGGGCGGGTTGGGACGACGACGCCAGCGGGCGGTAGGAGGACGGTGAAGAGGCGGCGGCGATGACGACGACGCGGGCGGCAGATCGGCCATGTGTCCTCGCGCTCCCCGTCCCCGCTGCTCGTCGTCGCGGCTTCCCTTCTCCCGCGTCACCGCGTCGTCGCGTTGCCCACTTGCCGGCCTCAGCAAGCGCTCGGTTGACTTCACCTCGCCGCCGCCGGCTTCCTCTGGGCCCTCTTCCTCTCATGCCTCCCTCCTACCCTCCCCGGCGGCGGCGCGGTGTGGCGGAGCTCGAGGACGGCAAGGGCAGCGCGACGTCGTGGGCGGGCGCTGGGTGGCGCAGCTCGAGTACGGTGAGGGCGGCGCAGAGATGGTGCGGGGGTTGTGGACTGCGACCCAGGCGTGGCGGACTGCTCACACTTCGCAGCCGCCGTCGCTGCCTCGTCGCCCGCCGCCATCAGCCTCGCCCCGCCGCTCTTGGCCAACCCCTTCAACCGGTCACCGGAGGAGGAGGCCACGCCATCACACTCGTGCAGAGAAGAGAAGAGCGAGAGAGAGAGAGAGAGTAGGAGGAAGGGAGAGAGATGACTCAGCCTGACATGTGGGGCCCACGTGGGTCCCACGCTGACTCAGCTGCCACGATGGACAAAATCGGGGGTCAAAACCATCAAGGGACCTAAAACAAACGGTTTTGTTAGTTGAGGGACGCCCGGTATCTGGTTTTGCAATTGGGGGACGATTTTGTATCTCGATGACAAGTTGAGGGATCTTGGGTGTACCTTTTCCTATGCTGTATATAAGGCCCTAAGAGCAGGTATAATAGCAGACTATAAGCTAGCTATAAGCACATTTCGAGAAAATAAATGAGGAGAGAGAAGAGTAGCGGACTACAGATTTGTTGCTAGCTGCAGCACGGACTCTAAGATACATGTGTATATGATAGGTAGAACCAGATATTAATTGTGTAGTTGTTAACGCCAAAATTTGGTAAGCCCAAAGTCATCATCAGCCTAGAGTCAGTATCGGCTTCAGAGTCTTGGAATCGGCCGATGGGAGTCGTCAAATCGCCAGCAGTTGTGTTCTTAGTGGAGTCGGATGAATTAAAGGAAATTTATCCAGAAGAGTCCGAGTTCAAGGAGGATGCGACATGGCAAGTTATCTATTAATTAGGAATAGTTTGTGTTTTCCTTTTATCTTTAGGAAAGTTTCTTTCTTGTCTTACAAGAACTAGTATCTACCTATGTGTATAAATATGTACACCTGGGGTCATTGTAATCTATCAATCTCTCGATCAATACAACTACTCTCGGCGCATCGCCACCCTCTTTACCAAGGTTTTTACTTATCATCCGATAGAACTTGGCACCTGACGTGGGGTTGCATCGGTTCAGTTCGATCTCCGGCGAAGAGGTAAGTCCTAACGTTTCGCCGGCCCTGGTGAATCTATTGGCTACGTTGGTGTTGTTCAAGGCTACATCGCTTCGATCTCTTGGATCACTCTGGTTTGGTTGATATATTTGCCTACAGGATATCTCAATTCTATCTTTAGTTGCATTGTGTTTAGAGACGCATCGGTTTAGTTGGGACTGTCTCGGTTAGGTCTGATCTTCTGTCTTAGCCGATATATCTCTACAATCATAATGCTGTTATAAATAGATTTGTTATATCCATCACATTAGACAGATCTATCAGCTCATCAAGTACTACATTATCATATACAATCTCGTGTTGCATCGGTTAGGTTCGACCTACTAGATTGTTGTTGATAATATAAGTCTTGTTAAGCCGATAGGTTCATGCTAGTGTTTTATCGGGGTGCTAGCCGATAAGTTATCTGGACGTTGCATCGGCTTACAAGGATTGCATACATATTGGATTTAGCCGATCACAATAAAGACTTTACTGTTTATCTACTCTTGTGAATTTTATGACATCGGACCACTAGCCGATATATGCTTTAACCTTCGGATCAATGCTTGTTCTATCATATCACTGTTAGCC